TCAAAAAAAAAAAAAAAAAAAAAAAAAAAAACTAAATGAAGTAACTTTTAAAGAAGAATATCATCACTTGCCAAAGAAACGAAAGCATAGCGATAACCCATGTATTGATATGCTGCTGGAGATGAAATTAGTCACTTACCAAAGAAACGAAAGCATACCCATAACCCATTTACCCAGACCCAGTATGAGTAGATAACGAATGGGAAGGGGGAAAGAAAACAAAAGTAATCTGAAAGTGGGGCTTTTGAATTTGATCAGATGACAGAGACGAGATTCTACCAATTTAAAAGGTACTCCAAAGGAATCACTTGTAAATTGTGAATCGAAAATGCTTTGAGAAATTATCTTTTATTAGCTTCAGTTTCCATGAAAATGAAGCTTTGAAACTCGGTTCTATTTCTTGAAAGGCCACTACTCCATTAGAATTGGACCTCGGCATTGATTTCTTCACGATTCCCTTCACCGGCAGGCTCATATTTGTGCTCGAACTTCGATTCCGCAGGCAGCTCTCATAGCCATCATGTTTTACTATAATTAAAAGCCATCATAAAAAATCACATTTAATTTTATTATTATAGTAAAAAAATTTTTACATAAAATCATATCTCAATTTAAATTAAAAATTTAAATCGACGAACTGAATAAGGCTTAAATTTCACGATAAAATTTTAAGTTTCACGGGAAGATTCTATCTTAATCGGAAACTCAAACTTGGCGGGAGATTTACTGCAGTAAGGGGAAGGGATGCTTCTACCATATGTGAAATTTCTATTTTTTTTTAAAGGAATTTCTTATTAATATGAAGATAATTCGGCTGTTTATCATTAATGATAAAACTTTTAATTTAAACTAAGGCTTTATTCATTAAACTAGTGCCATGCCAGCGTTAAATAGAAGGAATGTAACAGAAGGCAATTTTACTAACGGTTTAAAGTTTGAGTGGTGATAGACCAGTTTTTAAAGTTCAGAACAAAGTGACAGTGATACAAGCTGATGACTGTTGGACAGTAGTTACTAATTGATAACCGCCAAGTTCTCAGTCGATAACAGACGGCTGATAATTATTGGCGGTCGGCAACCACTGGTATCCAGCAGCAATACCATCAGTATCCAACACTAATACTCACAGAACAAGTTGGATCTTTCATTAAAATACTCAAAAAATCACCATAATTGACCAAAAAACACAAAAATCATTCTTATAAACAAAAAAAAGAGGACAAAATAAATGGCAAAAAGTCTTCTCCTGCAACTGGTATCCACCAAGATACCAACTAGTATCCTAACCGGTATCCACCGGAAAATCTCCATTATCAGCGGAAGTACGACATCACCACCATTAGAGCATTCAAAATACAATAACCATGTACAAAAGCTTCCCAAAATCCTCAAATAATACACACAAAAAACCTCACAAAATTCATAAATCATTAAAACATCATAAAATTTGTAAAGTCACATATTTACTAAGGAAGATCTCTCTTTCACCATGGAACCGCAGATCTCCTGATTGGTGACTCCAAATCAACCGCACCTCTAACAGAGCTAATGTCGACATCGAATAAATTTCACGCTGAAGACAACCACGAATGGGGAGATCTACACCTCATCCTCGCCGATTTGGTTGCATCGGTTGGTTTCGTGAGGAGAACACATCGCGATTTGGTTTGGGGCCGGAGTTCTTATGTTGTTGATAAGTGAGGCGCCGACAAGACAGGAAAGAGGAACATGGCGACTGCACGGCACGGTGACTGCATGGCGAGTTAGGCGGCAACGTGGCTGAGGAAGGGCAGCGATGAAGGAGAGAGAGAGTGAGGGGAAAAGGGACGGAGAGAGAGAGAGAGAAGATGAAGGGTTAGAGAAAAACAAGGGAAAAAAACCTAATTCTTTTAGACTTCTTATGCTAAATTCTATTCTGCTACATGGCATAAAATGTAGTAATTTTAGGTGCTATGGCAAAAGCCAATCCACATGAAAAATTTGTGCAGAAAGGCTGAATATCTATTTTTCCATATGGAATCTGCTGGCCAAATTAAGGATTAAGATATTAATTAAGAAAAAATCAGAAATATCACTTAACGTAGTAAAAAATATTATTTATGTCACTGCATTAAAAAATTAATAATTAACATTTGATTAATAAATAAAAAATAAAAAAGGTATGGTGACACTTGATTATTTAAAATGGGATGTACTTTTCTTCATTGTATCAATTATCTCTATTTTATTTTGAATATAAAGTTTTGCCATGTATTTAGTTTTTATTTAAGCAGCGTAGGGAAAATGCATGCAAGTAAATGTGGCTCTGGTTTATTCTAGTTTATAAATAGTCCTTATCTAAAGATGATCATATATTTTCACCAAAGGTAAAAAAAAAAAAACAAAGACGAGTATATATAAAATAGTTGTTTTTTTTATGAAAAGTATATAAAACAATTTTATTCAAAAGAAAAAGTTGTGTTATTATTAGATAATTAATGTTATATCGATACTTACAAATACATCATATACAAATGTACAAGACAATGCTAATGACCCAACAAGTGAACATATGCATGCCTGAGGCCCAAAAATAAGAGAATACATAATGAGATAAACTTTTGTACTTGGAATGTATGATTACCAACCCCTATAAAGAGGCACATCAACAACATGATCTAAACAGTTTCTAAGCGGAACAAAAGTTCCGCACTAGCGGAAAACATACAACCAGAGGATAGGAAAACCACCTCTATTATTATAACACAAGGCCGAACACACACTGGCGACCAACAACGAAATATAAACAAACTAAAATAGAACCGTGGAAATATCAACGTCTTATTACAAACACACAAATTAAAACAATAGAGTAAACACTAAAAGATACCAACAGAGACTTCGATGACGTGTTGAGTACCACCATGTATATAAAACAGTTTGAACCTTCTATAAAGTAATTCATAAAAATAAAATAATCAAAAAGTACGCACATTTCTTTTTTTGTTAGCTTTCGTATAGTAAGTTAAAATTTAAATGCGATGATTGGTGACTATTCTTTGAAAATGTTAAAGCAAAAATTGGCTTAGAAAATGTTTACATTTAACGTTTTTCTTATAGTATTGTTTTAGCATGTATTCTTTTCTTTACATTTTACATGTCTGTCTCTCGAACTATACGTCTTGTTATAAAATGCCTCATAAATTATAATTTTAACTTTTTTCCCTTTTAAATTTCGATAACTCTTGCAAAATTTCTCTTTATTAAATTTTTATTTTAATATTCTAAAAAATTACTTTCATTATTGTTGTTGGTCGTCATTTATGAACCTCTAAAAGTGTTGGGAATGGTGTCCTAGAAGCATGAGATGTAATAAGATATTTATTATTTATTTAATAAAATAGTTTATTCATTATTTTATGTGCATATATTTATGAATATCAATGAAAATTCTATGATTATTTATGTAACCTTAAATATTGTATATAAGTGTTATATACGAGAGGATAATGTTTAAGGATAATAACAAAAAAGTAATGTTCATAATGAATTTAATTAAAGTTCAGAATCTTTAATTAAAACATTATTAATACATGTCATTCCCATTTAGAATGGAACGGTGTTATCCGCACTGTTAATATGGAGAGATATTGAATGAGTGTATTTCGCATAATGAGATTATGTGGAACAAGGACACAGACATAATATGAATTTCTAATAATTCCGTTAAGTATAGAAATTCTAATTGAGTCTACCGATGGTCATATATAGGATGATCTTAATCCTGAGTTCTTAACAGACTCCTATTTATGGATTTGTGTCTTTTGATTTACTCGGTACGGATTCTGAGATCCTGAATCCTATTCCTTGTATTTTGGAGACATGATGAAGTAGGTAGCCAGGAATGTTATTACACGAGATGGAATCCATTCCTTCTTAAGAAAGAAGTAGATAAATAATTCTCTTGAGGGTTGAGTCAGTACTTAGACCAGTAGGAGCTCCGATTCATGAATGTGTTTTATGAATCACTGTCCATTAGA